AGTGGCCCATCGTCTAGTCAGTCCTCTTTCGGACACTATTTTGCTCCTATTCATCAGGCCTTGCGTATCTGACAATGTTTCAAGGCTATGCATAAGATTCTCTGTGGCTCCTTTCTCCGAAGTGGGGAGCCAACGTCTTCTTCATGGTCTCTGTGCTTAGTCTGGAAGCTCCACTCCTGTTCACTTTGGGTGGCCCTGCTGGCATTTGAAATACCAGTGATATAGCGTCCAATATCACAGCACCAAACAAGCTACCGCAGTCTGACAAACTGGCAGAGAAGTTGTAGCGCACAATCCTTAGAGAATCGTTTACTTGGGCGAACTACTTAACAGTTAGTAGTACCCCTTAGGCCCTTCAAACACTAAGCCATCAACACCTTAATGTGAATCAGTGGGGAGCACTTTGATGGGAAACATCCCAATACGGAACGGAGAGTGAAGACTCAGACAGGCTCTATTGAACTCCCTGTTAGCCCCTTGGGACCTCAATCCCTGGTCATCTTCCACTGCTTGCCACACAGAAACAGTGAGAGCCTGAGAATATCTCAATCTTGGTTTTATCTGAGACTTGGATGTAGATCTAAGTTGGATATCTGCTGAAGTGTTTAGTCTAGAACCCTGAAAACGCGTGGCATTCTAGGGGCACTTTGAGTGACTGCTTCCCCTTATAGGTTTTTGAGAAGATCTTTTGACTCAGAAGAGGATCCCTGGTGGCATAGTGGTTACACATAGGGCTGTGATCTATAAGGTCAACTGTTTGGACCCAGTAGCTGCTTAGAGGGAGAAAGACTGGGCTTTCTACTCCTGTAAAAAGCTATAGTCTTGGAAACTCACAGAGGCAGCACTACCTTGCCCTATGAGTTGGCATTGACTCGATGGTAGTGAGCTTAAAAGATTATTTATGTTTACTGTGAATTACCAGTGGGCCTAGCTCTTCTCTAACTAGTTTCTGCTCTTCTTCTCTCCCAATCCATCCTATAAAATAATGCCGGATCATTTTTGCTAAAGTGAAGCATGTATAGCATGTCTAACTTCTGCCCTGAATCCTTTGCTTTTTCCAATAGCCTACAGACTAGGGAACAGAAAACCCAAACTTTCAATTCTGGGGGCCCAGCTTCTCCATGGTGTGATAACAACTGCCCTTTCCAATCTTCTTTGTGAACCTTCTCAGAATAGATTGCTTGTGATTTTAACAGTTTGTGTCGGTACACAGGGGCCTCTTTGCCTGAGCTATCTTCTCAGTCTCCATTGAAATGCTACCTCCAGCGCTCATAGAACTGGAGCTGCTCCTACCTTCTCTCAACTTCTAGAGTTAAGTAGCCAAACCTCCTTAATAGCACTTGACAATTTCAACCTAATATAGAAGCTGATGCTATCCTCTTTAACTAGAACATAAATAAACCAGTGAACAGGCAACAACTGGATCTTTATCTTCATTAGCAAAGGGCGTTGGTGCCAGTTATTTTAATAGCTTTTTTCCCATGGGTGTTTGTATGAATGAATAAGTGAATGCACAAAGAGAGGAGGTGCTGATGATAATGAGGACCATGGTTTGTCACCAGATGGCCCAGAGTTCTCTCATAGCAGGAGTTCTTCTCCCATATACTTATAAAAGCAGAGAAAGGACAGGCAATGTTTCTACATATTTGGAATCACCATCACTCTTAGAGCTTTGGATGAGTTCAGGAGGGGAGCAGAGCATCTTGGACATTTTTGTCCAGGATCTGTATGAAGGTGATTGGGAAAGTAGCTGCCGAAAGCAAGACTCTGACCAGTGGGAGGGCTGGCTCGGGGTTCTGGGAATAAGATCTTCGGGGCATACGCATTGGTACTTCACTGGAAGAGGACAAGAGAACCTATCTAGTTGAGGACATGCTGTTCAACTTTTCTACATTGTGATGATCTGCATTCTAGGGCTTCTTAATCTTTGTACTATTGGCATTTGGAATTTGTTGTTGTGGTTGTGAGGGTCTCTTCTGTGCACTGTAGGAGATCCAGCCTCATCCTTGGCCTCTACTCACTAGTTGCCAGTAGCAACCCCTAGCAAACAAGGATCTCTCCAGATAGTGCCGAATGTACACTATAGAGCAAAACCATCTGTTTGGGAATTACTACTGTAAACAAGTGATTGCATAGTCAATGCTGCTTAAATCACTTTAAATCCCTTCCCTCCTAGGACACACCTGGCACCTAGCATTTATTCATTCATTTCTTTCGTGCATGTTTACTAAGCCCTGTCTTGGGGCCAGCCCTATTGGTGCCCTTGTAGAGATGGCACTGAACAAGCTGTCTGCGTTCCTGCATCCGTGATGCATGCCCTGTAGAGCAGTGGTTCTCAACTTTCCTAATGCCGAGACCCTTTAATACAGTTCTCATGTTGTGGTGACCCGTATGTGGGTATATCTGCATGTGGACGGACCCGCCGGGAGATAAAGGAGTGGTGTCTCGGTTCCTAAGACCATCGGAAATACGGTCTTAGGCAACTCCTGTGAAAGGGTTGTTCAACCCCCAAAGGGGTCTCAACCCACAGGTTGAGAACCGCTACTGTAGAGGCTTTCCATGAGGGCATGGTGGGGATATGAAGTGGTGCCAGTTATTGGAACAGCTTTTTTCCCATGCTGATGAAGGGCAACAGAATTCTCATTTTAATAAAATCATCATATGTACATGACTGCATTGGGCAGCATTTAGGGCCACTAATGTCCTTTGTTCTCACAGCAAACAGTAGGCTAAAATTTGCTCACACTTGCTCTTTTTTCACATTATGACTGGGTTTCCTGAGGAAACTTTCCCACAGAGAGCCAGGCTAGGGATAGGCCACCATGACTTTTGATGGAGCAAAGTAGGGAGGGATTCATGGGGAAGTTTTTCCTGGGGGGTGAGGGTGGGAAATGACAGTGTGTGTGATTTCCTCAGTGTGACCTGAGGTAGAAAGTGTGGGGTTGGCTGTTTCTTTTGAGGTCTCACATTGAAGAACATCTTATTCATCCATCAACACCCAACTTAGCGTTCACTTCTCCAGTGACACTTTCCCCACATTCCCACACAGAGCTAGACCCTCCTCCATGGGAACGCCCACTGCACTTGGTTTAGGGCCTGCCAGTGCACTTGATACATGGCACAAGGCACTTGATTCTAGTCGCCATGACACGGCCCTTCCTCTATGCCTGTCTTCAAGAAGAGATCACTGAAGATAATGGGTGCTACAGCAAAGTGTGGCGAAGAAGCACACTAGCCTGTGTGATCCAAGGATGATAAGTAATAAAATCCAAATCCAAAGGAGAGAATTATATCAGAGCTTAAATTGTGGACACCAGATTTGCTGAAGGCAATGGATGACAGTGGGAACCCAAAATCCATTTCCAGGGTCCCTACATGGATGAAGTCACTGAGTAATCTCCTCTGATCATAGTTGAGGGATGTGAATAGCCTTGCTATCAAACACAAATTATCATAAACATCATCATGGCAGATGTGATTAGGCTAAAATGCGACACCTGATCATCTGATCTTTCTTTTGACCCATTTTAAATGTCTTCTAGTTTTTAACGCTCCCTGCTTTTTCTTGATTTTTTTTTTACTTTGGTTTATTTTTTTATTGTTGTTAGTCTTTTATTCCCCCTCTGTTCTCTTTCTTTCATTCATTTTTGGTATGTTTTCCAGCATATGAAGACTGGGATGGCGAAGCTGTAGAGACAGTCCTGGATTAGGGGCTTACTGGGGTCACAGGTGGGGGGAGGGAGGTTGGAGGGTGATATAGTTTATTATGCCAGCCTGGCTGATAAATACAAGTGGGATTAACTGAAGGGCGGAGAGATAATGGCTCAGTGAGCCTCATCTTTCTTGTCTCTTGCTCTTTGATCATCGGACCAGTGTGCGGCTGCCTTGCTCGTTCTTTGCCTCAATTTATAGACTATACTACCTGTGGGACGCCTACCCTGTGGACTGTGTCTCTGTAAGTTGAGGTCCCTTTAAGGCATCTCTGGAGCTGGGGACTGGCAGTTGGGACTGGTGGTTAGTTGACAGTTGGTGATCTGCCTTGTGATTGGCTGCTGTGCTGAGAATAGCCTCACTCTATAAATAGGGGGGGATCTGGCACCAGAGAGAGGAGAAGGACTGCTAGTCTCTCACAGCCCTGAGCCATTTGTAGTGCTTATAATTTAACTGTTCATTTGTTATATTTATCTGTATATAATTTAACAGTTCACTTCTTGTTATATATCTAATTATCTTTATAAATAAATATATTTAATTATCAGGAATTTGGTTTTATCTCTCTAGAGAACCCTGTCTAACACAGAGGGAAATGAGAATCTAATAATGAATACGAGAGGGAAGAATATGTTCTGGAACTGATTGTAGAGATGATTGTACAACTTTTTAAAATATGACTAACTATGGGAGTGTACGATATGTCAATAAAACTGTATTAAATTTTTAAAAATAAAAAATGGATAAAAACATGCGTTGCACAAGGCGAGGTTTCGTGAGATCTGGAGTTTTCCCTGCCTCGCCGCCCCGTGCCCATCACACAGGTAAAGCTGCCTACAGATCAGTGGAGTGAAGTCGTCAGTGGATGAACCACAGGGAGCGTGCTTCACCCACCAGAGGGCGTCCTAGAGAGTAGCAGAGAATGTACAGTCTAACCCCACCTGTGCCATGAGGTGGATGTGTGGTCATGTTGCATGACCAAAATATGCTCAGAACATCATATAACAATTGATGAGTTATGATGATGATGATGATGATGATACGACACAGGCCTACAATTAGTCTGGAACCAGCCAGCCATCATTCACTTGCTCTCTATCTTTTCTGTCTCTGTCTATATCGGTCTCTGTCTATCTCTCTCACATCTTCACATATGCACACAACAAAACACCAGTAAAACGGTTCCGCTTCTGATTACAGTGTAGCCTTAATCTCCTCCACACCCAAAGTCAAAGCACCACCTTCCCCATCAAAGCACAGCTGGAATCCTCTGCTCTGCTCTTACTTACGTGAAGACGGCTGACCCCCATCCCGCCAATGCAGTGAATAATCTGGGGCTCAGGTCTCGAGCTGGGTTCATGGCACAGCCACTGTTCAGTCCCAAAGAGGAAGAAATGACAATAATCAGGAGGCCAATGACCACAGGCTCTAAGCCTTTTGGGACGCCCATGTTTCTGGAGTCAAAAATGGCAAAGACAATCATGAGGAGGAACGTCGTGGAGATTACCTGGAGGGGGAGAACATATGCAGGGATTTTGGTTGTTTTTTTTTTTTTAAAAAAATCTGAAAATGATGAGCATGTATTGGAAGAGACTAGTGCCGCGGATTGTTCTTCCTACAGCTATTAGCAAAGGGGGTGCCGCTCGTATGTGTCCCCACTTACAGATAAGTTACCCGCCCAAAGCCATACATGGAGCAAGTGGCTTCAAGTTAGGACCAAGAGAGTCTGGCTCCAGATACTGTTATCTAAACTGCAACACTGCACTGCTAAGCTCCTACCCGGCCAAATAGAAAGACCTGGAAAATGAACCAAAGGCTCGTTCAAATTCGTGGGGAAAGCACCGTAAGATGACCATCAATAGGCAGGACAATGAGACAAGTAGAAAATCTTAGAAAAGTGAAACTCAGAAATAAATAAGTTGGAAAAACAGTACAAATGAAAACATGCAAATAGTAGCAACTTTTAAGAAAATACCAGCTTTCTCCGCTTTTCTAGTAGAATGGAACAAACACAACAGTTGTTTGGTAAGGGACATTTAGCTACATACATTTTAAAAGGGAAAGTTTCAAAGTATTCAATACTCTGACTCAGTTAGATATTTAAGAACTATCCCGTGAAAATAATCTATAAGAAAAAACACAAAAGATAATTATGTTCATGTTGATAAAATCAGTGGAAACATGTTCACAGTACTGAAAGACGCGAAACGTGATGCTGACTCATGGTAACTCTAGCTATGATTTCTGAAATGATGGCCCTGCACAGTAGCAGCCAGCTTCATGTTTCACCTCCGGAGGGGCTTGTGGGTTTGAAGCACCAACATGGTGATTGGCAGTTCAAATCCTAGCCCATGACACCTCCGAGGCTCCTTGGAAAATAGAAGCCATCTAAATACTGAACAGTAGGAGGGAGGCTAACTGTGCCTGGTGTGCCTGTTTAGTATTTATTATATAGTCATTACAGTAGCCCCGGTGGTGGAGTGGTTCTGTGTGGTGCTGCGATCCACATGGTTGGCAATTCCAAGCCAGTAGCAGCTCCTCAGGAGAAAGACTGTGTTTTCTACTCCCTTAAGGGTTCAGTCTTGGAAACCCATGGGGCAATTCTAACTGTCCTATTGGGGGGCTATGAGTGGACCTGGACTCCATAGCAGTGAGTTTGGTTTTCTTTATGTAGACCTTATAAATACACATAAAACCTATGTTGTAACTTGAAAATGTTTGATATTAAGTGAAAAATACATAAATTATATGTACATTATGTTTTATATGTAAAAACATGCACAAAAGATAAGCAACATGAGAAAGTATAAGAAATCATAACAACGCTTCTGAGATGGTGAGTTAGAGACAGTTATTTTATTCATTCTCCGTTTTCTAAAATTTCCAAGCTCTTAATTACCTTACCAGCTGCGTCATGAAGTGGTTACTGTGCGCCAAGTTCCTCCTGTGCTTTAGCTCCTTAAAACTTCCTGATAACACTAGGAAGCTGTTGTTGTTGTGAGGTGATGTTGAGTCAAGATCAACTCATAGCAAGTCCACCTGATGGAGGAGAATCGACCAGAGGGCTTTTGGGGCTGTAATCTACAGAAACACATCACCAAGCCTTTCTCTTGTGGAGACATTGGGCAGAGTTGAATCACCAACCTTTTGGCTGGCTGCAGAGCCTGTAAACATTGTCCCCTCAGGGCTGGAGATGCAAGGAGGAAACTGGAGTAGAAGGAGGTAGGCATGTGCCCAAAGGTACACAGTTTATAAGCAAAAGAATCTGGGTGTAGAGCAGGCAGCTGATTTTAGAGTTTGAATTCTTCACCATTTCATCTGCTTCCCCAAATAATAATACTAATATAATTTGTATTCAAAGAGATATGTTTTCTCCCATGAATGCCTTTCTTCAAATTTCCTTTTGCCAGCTTCTCCGGGCAGAGCAGAAACTCCACCTGTGGGCTTTTGTTGCCTTCTGACCACAATTCTGCCTCAACCGTATTATCCTAGAAGATATGGATGCCAGACCCCGAACTTGAAGAAGGAATTCCATGGCATTACTCTTGGTCTGATGGGTGCTCCATCAGTCTTTATTGGCTGAACGAAAGTTTATGGATTAAATTATTAAAAATTCCTGCACCATTTCATAATCTTAAGGTAAAGTAGCCAATGATCATGGTAACCAGGAGTTCTGCTGGGTGTCAACTGACCCACAATTAGCATTTTTATGATCTCCTTCCAAAGTCCAAGAAATGTGAGGGGCTTCTAGAGAATTTTCTTGGGGATTAAAAAAGAATGTCAGAGTGGGGCCCCGCATTGCTCTGCCAATGATGCCTGTGTTTCTGAGTTAGGACTTTAACAGTAGCATTTGCCTACCTCTGTTTTTTATTCATAAAATGAGGAAGTTGGAATACGTAATCTCTAAATTTTTTCACTGATAGGGAAAAATATGATACCATATGACCCTTAGAGTTCTTGAGATTTCAATATATATTTGTGGAAAATAAAAATAAATGACATAAAAAAGAGAGGCCCCAGTGAAGCTGCAGTTGTGGGAACAAAGACCATCTAAGAAATGGATAACCCTCCATGAACCTGAAGCTCCACTGACCGAAGACCAGGGAACCTCCTTGTGGCTGGGGCATTTGGTGATACTTCTGAAGCTGTAGCACTGGAGAATTCAGTAAAATTTTATAAGATTCCATCTTCAGGGCAGGGAAAAGGCCATGGCAAGGGTAAAAAATAATTATCATTTGTGGACTTTTCATTTATGTTCCGGCAATTTCATCGCCATAACGATGCTCTGAGGTTGATATCATTGATTCCATTGATCAGAAAACTAAACTGAGACTTCTAAAGTTTTTGACTAACTTGTTCAAGGTCAAATGCACGGTAAGAGGCAAGCCTGAGATTCTATCTCAAACACTCTTCTCTCTATCATTCTCCTTTCCTTGGGACTGCCAGCCCTCAAGCTTCCTGGTGTCGGGGTGCTGAGGAAATGGGGCAGAGGCCACATCTGTCCTCCTACAGCTCCCATAGTAAAAGGAGAATCCCCCTCTACACCCATGCAAGGCAGATTGCTACAAGGCAGAGGTCAGACATGGCCCCACTCTCCATCCTTCTTAACCTCATCTGACACCACCCGCCCTTAAGCACGCTACTTCTCTGCTCGGGTCGGGAAGTCATCGCATTTCCATCAGAACTTGCAGACAGTTCTCAGGCTTGTGGGGGTTTATTAGGGAAGCTAACGGTTGCAACATGGTAAGGACATAGTTCTTTTGTCGGCAGTGCCTCTTCTTAGCCATGCTGGCGTCATGTTTCGCTGGGCCTTGGCCTCTTGGCCACATGGTCCTCTGGCCTCTGCCTCTGTGGGCCAGGAAGCCCACCTGCCACTCTGTCTCATGGCCTCTGGTGTTTCTGCTGCAACTTCAGAGAAGGATCTTGCCCCCCTTCTGTCAGTGGCTCTTCTTCCTTGATGGCCGTAGGATTCTCTCTCTCTCTGCTTCTAGATGGTACCAAGTTGTTACTGTTGTTGTTGTTGTCGGGTGCTGTCGAGCCCATGCCACCTCTTAGTGAGCCTATGTAAAACAATGCCATCCTCACAATTGTTATGATTGAGCGCCTTGGTGCACCCACTGTGTCGATCCATCTTGTTGAGAGTCTTCCTCTTTTTCACTGCTTCTCTACTTTACCGAGCATGATGTCCTTTAGCAAAACTGACCACTTCCCTGCATCCGTGTTGAACACATCCTGTTGGCATGGTATCCTCTAGTCATTTGGTGGGAATTACAAAGTCCTGGGTACTCAAACTAAATTTGCTACTATCCAGTCTGTTTTGACTTATAAAAACCCTATCAAACTAAAACAAACATTGCCATCGAATTGATTGTGACCCATAGTGACCCTGTAGGACGCCAGAGTCCTGCCCCTGTGGATTTCTGAGGCCATAAATCTTTGCAGGAGTAGAAAGCCTCCTCTTTCTTCTGCAGAGCAGCTGGTGGTTTCAAACTGCTGGCCTTGTGGTTAGCAAACCCAACACATAATCCACTAGGTCACCAGGGCTCCTAGCAACCCTATGGAAGAGCTATATTTAAGTGATTTCATTTCACCACAAAAGATTTCTGGGGCCAAACAAATCTCAGGAGGGGCCCAGGCTTGCCCCTGTAAGAAGGAATCGAGCGTTTCCCTAGGGCCCTGTGGAGGGGAGCAGGGCGGAGGGAAAGGATACAGGGGCTGAGGCTTTACTTCAGTCCTCCCTTCCTCAGAGCAGCCTGAGACTATGAGAAAGTGAGTCTGGGTCCGCATCACAAGGCACAAATACACAAGCTTTTTCTGGGCATGCCAAGGTTCCTGAGAGACAGTTGATGTTTGCCTGCCTGCCTTCCTTCCTTCCTTCCTTCCTTCCTTCCTTCCTTCCTTCCTTTCAGTGGAAATGGCCTGGATTCACCTGAGCCATCTCTTCCGGCCCATCTTTTTCATTATAAGACAAACTTGACCTGAATTTAATGGAACACAGGACTGCACAGCAACTCTGTACTTCTTGTCTAGCTCCAGTGTCCATAGTGAGTCACCCGACGTGAGGGACCCAGCAAACACGCAGGCAGTTTGCGCTATGCTGCATGAGCTTTATGCGTACATAAGGCAGGTACAGTTCCCACCTCCCCCAGCCCTTCTGACTGCCCTGAGAATAAACTCCTGCCCCTTACACAGCGTTGCTATGAGTTGGATGGGACACAGTGGCCCCTAACACCAACAGCAGACAGCCCGCTTGCCGGCTTTTCAAACTGTGGGAAACTCCCATGCACCTTCTGAGCGCTTATCCCGGCTCTCCACTCTCGGCTTGTGTGAAATCAGCTCAAACCCTCTTTCCCTTTTGGTTCTTTTCATTCGGGACCACCCTCTCTTGAAGGGGGACGTTTTTTAAACACGTTGAATACTCCAGTGTAGAATAAGATGCATGATTTTCACTGAACTATTATGCTTTTATTATTGAAACTTCAGATAACAGTTCTTTCTCTGGGACTTGTTCCTATCGTCTTAGCTCATCAAAGCGCTCACTGCTGTAAATTCCTAGATGTGACCCCTAACATTCCACTTTCCTATCTGATGAGTTTCTGTTTTGCCTTGTTCCTTTGTGCTTATGTAATTGTTCTGTTCCTCAACTAGATTCTAAATGCCTTGGCAGATATGCTTCACAATGCACTTTCCTCACACTATTTAATTTGATCCTTATAAGTAGTATGATGAGCACTAATAGCTACTCGATCTTATGCATGGAAAACCGGGAAACCAAGGAATGAAGCCATGTAGGACGTTGAGGACACCACTGTGATCGGAATGTGCATTTTCACACTCTGAATTGTGTGTCTTTAAAAATACTCTTGTGAGACTCTCAACCTCCAGGCTCAGGGCTGAGCATAGAGTGAGAGCTCAATGGACACTGGGTGCCTATTTGCTTTGTTGACCAACGTGGAAAGAAAAAGGCTGAGGACATGAGGGCATCCACGTTTTCATCCATCACGAAAAGGGAGAGGGACACAATTGGCCAACTAAAAGACTCATGTTTCACTCATGCCTGCTCCAACCTGCCCATTGTCGATCACAAGAGGAGCTCTGAGTGGCTGCAGAAGTTGTCCGTTCCTCCTTCCGTGGTCAAGCTAACCAGTCAAGTCTGGGGCTCCATAAGGAGGAAGAATCTGTTGGTTTGACAATGTTGGCCCTGCCATAAACTGATCCCAAAGGTTGTACTAACGGCAACACCACAAATACTTGGAAATTCTTCCAGCTACTTTGAATGTTTGGAAAGGCCCATGCCCATGGGGAGACAGAGACACAGGACACCCCAGGCTCAACTACCACACTGCACACTTCTTAAATTGAAATAGAAATGTCTGCTCTTGAGACCTCCTTACTACACCAGCCAGACGGACAAATCAATAGTGAAGTGAACCTTCTTTTCCCCTGCAGAGGTCAAAAGGCCCTGCTCTTTTTCTGGAACTTAATTGATGTGAAAATCGTGTACCTAGTAAAGAGATAGCAGAAACCTCTTTCAATGGGGTCAACTTTTGCAAAGGTAAACATTTGTCAAAGAGAGCTTGGGTTTTGCCCAGTGACCCTTGGCTTTGGAAACTCAGCCTTTCTTTCTGATAGGCCTAGGATGTACCCTTGACTTATGTCCTTTAACCAAAGTTGGGTCTATATTAAACTATACTTACTTGGTCTGCAAATGCATTCGCCAGGGACAGGTATGGAGCAGGGTATGTTGCAAAAATATGTGCAGTTGCGTTTTCTCCCACGATGAGCAATTGTCCACCAGCAAAGGACATAAGTCCATCTATAGAAGACAGAGCTCTCTTCATTAGTGTTTTCTGGGTGGGGTAGAGGGAAGTCAATGCACTGGACAATGACAGTCAAACACCAAGGTGCAGCTTGGCACAGCAGCATTATTTGCCTCCCTCCACTTCATAACAAAATAGCTGCAGAGCTTCTTAGGGGAATTAGGCCTGGGGCTGAGGGTGATGGGTCATAGGTAGAGAGCCCTGGCCACCCTTGATGCTCCATTGAAAACTTGGACCAAATTCCAAGCCCGTGGGTCCTGGGAACCAATCTTCTTTGGCAGAATATTTGGAATTTTGTAGATTGACCTAAAGCCAAAGTAGGGGTTAGTTCTGCTCTAAGCGATATTCGTAATTCCCAGAGGGATCCCACTACCCTCTGACATTACTCCAAAGTATGAAGATTCCAGGCATAGTAAAGATGTCCCCTCAGCAAAAGACAGGCCATCTGCAGCATAGACGGCCCTCTTGCCATAGCTGCTGATGCTCAGAATTTCTGGTTTGGCCTTACATTCCTCTGTAATTCTCTTAGACTGTAATTCTTAGCAAAACATTCTTTGGGGAGAGGTTCCTTCCAACAATCCAGATCTCTCAGGCTTTGTTACTAAATCCCAGTTTCCTAGGACTTCAATGTGAGGGTCAAAATGTATTGGAACTTACCTTGGGTCAGATGGAGTAGTTGTTCTCATGACACCACAAGGATTTCTTAGTGTGAAAGACATTAGAGCCATCTGATCAATTCCCTCATGTTTCAGAGAAAGAAACGATGCCACATGGGTCGGCAGCTTTCCCTGGTTCAGTCAGAACTCAAGTCTGGGTCTTCAATCACCAGCGTGCATGCTTTCCCCACAAGTTGTTGCACAACGGGAGCCCTGGCAGTTCCGTAGGAAAGGGCTGGGGACTCCCCACCCAGGTCCCTGCTCTGCCCGTTGCTTCAGAGACTTTGCCATAGTCCCTCTCTGAACACTTGCAACAACTCATCTCCCAAACAAGCCAGAGAAAGCAGGGAAGAGGCCACTGGCCCATGGCTTCCTTGTTCTTGCCTTGTCTCACTTCTTTCTGCCAAGCAATTATGACTTTTGATGGCTGCCCCGCTCTCTGTACCTTTCAGATTTGGGGGCCCCACTCACCGTAATAAATGCCAAAGAGGGTGGCAGCCCCCACGAAGGCTCCCAAGAACTGGGCTCCCACATAGAAAGGAAATTTGTACCATCTCATCCGTCCGAAGAGACACATGGCAAATGACACGGCTGGGTTAATGTGGCCACCTGCAAGGAAGACGACATGGCTGGGAACGGTGGAGGGCCAGCCAGGGAGAGAGCGAACGTGCAGGAGTCCTTATCTGGGGCGTCAGGCAGAGAAGATGTGTTAGGATGGGGTGTCAAGAAAAACCAAACCAATGACGCTCATGTCTGTCTGAGAAGCAGCTTTGTATCAAGAAGTAATTTTATATCAAGAAGGTGTCCCCCATCGAGTCCAACTCAAGTCCCTGGGTCTGAAGCTGGCAGGAGCCCTCTTCCGACTCATGCAGCTGCAGCAGAGGGTCATAAAAGTGAATCAGAAGCAGGGAGATCGCGGGCTGGTGAGTGCAGAGTCCCCTGGCTCAAGGATCCATGGGAACATGGACAAACGCTGACAGAACCCAGGGTCAGTGGCCCACATGGGGCCATTCCTGGAGACAGAGACATAGAATCCAAAGAGGCAGGAGGCAAAGGGAAAGAGCAAGAGAGAGGGATTCCCAGTGTGTCTCTAATGAAAAGTCACATGCCCAAGGAGGCAGCACTAGACTGTCACCTGACTGGCAGGTTGAATTCCACCCGGATTTCCACACACATGTATCAAGTTGGCATAAAATCTAACCACCACAGAAGGCATGCAAGGAGAAAGAGGCTTGTGTTTGTAGGTTTCAGGGAGAGCGAACCAATAATCCCAGGATATCAATAGACCCCACAGGGTTCTGAAAGGGTAGTCGTGGAGAGAAAGTCACTGGCTAGGCATACCTGGCCCACAGGTGGATTGTTGCCCAGAGGCAACCATGGTGAGGGGTGCAAGAAGAGCATAAGTAAACATCTCTGATCAAAAATACCTTCTTCCACCCATGGGAGATTTATTTCTTTTAAGAAATGTACGTTTCAAAAAAGAATTTTCTGTAGGCAAAATTTTTAGCTACCTTACCAACCCAAACCAAACTCACTGCCATCGAATTGATTCTATCTTAGAGGGGCTCTGGCAGTTATATTTATGTGAACTTGACCCTTTGTGAACATGTAGCGGTGGAGTCCAACCTCTCAATCAGGTCACAGCCTGATGATACCTCTTTGGGGGGTGACCTTTTCAATAAGAAAAACAGTAAGAAACCCGCTTCCGCTCTGCCCCTTTGCTCTCCCTGCT